GCGATGGGGGCGGGCCTGCAGGGCGGGGCCTCCAAGTGGGCGGGGGCCGGGCTCCGGAAGGGGCGGGGACAGGCGGCGGAAATGAGCGGAGGGCGCGCAGGCGCACAGCCACAATTTCCAAACAAATCTACTACCAAGGAAAAAAGGACGCAGTTAAAAATCAACAATAAGAGGGAGGGTGTAGCTCAGTGGTAGACTGCATGCTTAGCATGCGGAAGGTCTTGGGTTCGATCCCCAGTACTTACAGTTAAAGAATATAAATAAATAAACCTAATTATCCCCCCGAAGAGACACAGTTTAAAAATCAATTATAAGAACTCCAATGCACTCAAAATAAAACAACCTTATGAAGCAGTCTTACAAACAGTATATGGCATGCCCAAAGAGGTGAGTGAAAGAATAACTTCCATCTAAAAGGAACAACAAAAAAAATTGAAACAAAATAATAAACAAAAATAGAGAAAGAATAGGTGGATTTAAAAAATAAGATTTTAGAAATCTTCAGAATATTAAAATATTGTCAGATTAAAAGCTCAACAGACAAGATAAATTCTAATCTGGACACTGGAGAAGAGGGACTTAGCAAGCCGGGAGATACTGCTGAGAAATTCATCCAGAACACTACTCAAAGAACATTTTTTTGCAATATGAAAAACATGGAAGATACATTGGCAGACTTCAACACACATCTATGATAAGTGTTCCAGAAGTAGAGAATGAAAGCAGTGTCAAAGAAACAAGTTCTGAAGAGATTAAATCTGAGAATGTTCCAGAGTTGAAGAAAGACATGTCTGGAAAACATAGGCACAGAGTAGTGAAGCTATTCAACATTTAAAATAAAACTCTTTTAAGATTCCAGAGCTAGAAGTCATATTACCAAAGGAATGCTAATTAGACTGACAGCTGACTTCCTACCAGTGATAACAGACTCCAGGGGACGATGAAGTAGTGTTCTCAGTGCTGAGGGAAAATACCTAGTGTCCCTAAGTTTTACAGCCAGAGAAGTGATCACTTAAGAGCAAAGGCAGAGTGAACAGGCAGCCAATGGAACGGGAGAAATGTTTGCAAATCATATATTTGATAGGGGATTGCTATGCAGAATATATATATAAAGAACCTCTACAACTCAAAAACAACAGAACCCAAACAACTCCATTTAAAAATGGGAGAAGGATTTAAATAGATATTTGTCCAAAAAGATACAAATAACCAATAAGCACATGAAAAGATGCTCAACATCTCTAATCATCAGGGGACTGCAAATCAAAAGTACAATGAGAAAGTACATCACACCCATTAGGATGGCTACTACAAAACAACAAAAAGAAAAGCAGAAAATAACAAGCGTTGAGGATATGGAGACATTTGGAACCCTTGTGTGTTGCTGTTAGGAATATAAAACTGTGTAGCTGCTGTAGGAAACGTATGGCAATCCCCTCCCAAAATTAACCATAGAATTGTCATGTGATCCAGCAGTTCTATTTCCTGTATATTCCCAAAAGAAAGGAAAGCAGGAGCTCACACAGGTATTTGTAAACCCATGTTCACTGCAGTATTATTCACAATTGTCAAAAGGTGGGAGGAACCCAAGTGTCCATTGTCAAATGATGGATAAGCAAAATGTGCTCCATACATACAGTGGAATATTATTCGGCCTTAAGAAGGAAGGCAATCCTGTCACATGCTACAACGTGGATGAATCTTAAAGCTATTATGCTAAGTAAAATAAGCCAGTCACAAAAAGACAAAAACAGTTGACCCTTGAGAAGTGAAAGGGTTAATCCACATATAAGTTACAGGCAGCCCTCCGTATCTGAGGGTCCTCTGCATCCAAAGATTCAACCAACCATGGACTGTATAATGCTGTAGTATTTACTAGCAAAAAAGGTACATATATTTGTGGATCTGTGCAGTTCAAACGTGTCATTCAAGGGTCAACTGTACCATATAATTCCACTTACATGAGGTACATAGAGCAGTCAGATTTGTAGAGAAAGTAGATGGTGGTTCCCAGGGGCTGCCAGGAGGGGAATTACTGTTTAATAGATACAGCGCTTCAGGTGGAGAAGATGAAAAAGTTCTGGAGGTGATAGTGGTGACAGCCGGACAGCAATGTGCATGTACTTAACGCCACTGACCTGTACACTTAAAAGGGGAAAATGTTATATCTATTTTGCCACAATTTTAAAAAGAGTGAAGGCAAAGCAAAGACATTTTCAGACGTGAAGTCTAAGAAAGTTTACCACCTACAGAGTCCCACTGAAAGAACTATTAGGAGTTGTATTTGAGCACATAGAATAGCCATCACAAAGAAGGAAGGTGTTTGCAAAGAATAAACAGTAGTGAACACAGAAATTGGTAAGATATCTTTGTAAATGTAATTGCAATTAATGGAAAAACCTAGAACAACTTTCTCGTGTGTTTAAAAGAGTAAAAGGAAAAAATTCTGGTCAAAATAACCAGATGAGGGAGTGGAGGGTGCTTGGAGATAACTAGATGTTAAGGTTCTTTTACTCACGAGCTGGAGGGAGATACTGAATTAACTTTAGACATTGTTAGACAAATTGATATTTAGGTACATACATTGGAACAAGGGTATTTACTGAAAGAATAGAAATATCATCTCTAACTTTTTAACAAAGTAGCAGTGAAGAAAATAGAGAATACTTTAGTCTAACAGAAGATAGAAAAGAAGAAGGAAAAAGGAACAAAATAGTACTGGAAACAGATGAACAGATATGAGATGAGAAAGTTAAAACCATCTTGAGCAGTAATCACAATACATTTAAACAGAATATTTACCGTATTATGTAAAACTACATTTTATTTTTTTAACAAAAAGTGTATGTGGGAAAACTGGAAGCAAAATATTAGCAGCTTTGGTTATTTCTCACAGTTCTACAAAAACATGTCATACTTTTAGGACCATTTTTGAGACGAGGATGATGCCTGCTGCCCAGTGATAGGTGGTAATTATTGTCATCATTATAAATGCAAGACATCACTGATATGTGGAATCTAAAACAGAGACAAATGAGCTTATTTACAAAACAGAAAAAGACTCACAGACATAGAAAACAAACTTACGGTCACCAAAGGGGAAAGTGGGGTGGGAAGGGATAAATTGGGAGTTTGAGATTTGCAGATACTAACTACTATATACAAAATAGATAAACAACAACGTCCTACTGTAGAGCACAGGGAACTATACTCAATATCTTGTCGTAACTATAATGAAAAGAATATGAAAAGGAAGATACGCATGTTTATGTGTGACTGAAATACTATGCTGTACACCAGAAATTAACACAACATTGTAAACTAACTATATACTTCAATGAAAAAAAAATGCAAGACATGCCTTCCTCTTGGCTTTCTCAGCAGTGGCAATGAATCTGACCACTGGCTTTTAAACTTGTGGGGGGTAGGCTGAAACACACACACACACACACACACACACACACAAACATAAAATTGTGTTTCCCTATTTCTATGAACAAGAAAAAATATCGTCTGAGAACTTCAGAAGGGCCGCATCTTGCTTTAGGATCAAGAGAGTGGGGGAAAGTGGCAGCCTTTGACCTTCAGTGCTGAATCAGAAGAGAGAAGGAGTGGGTTGGAGGCCCCCCATCCCTGCGTCCGCTGCCTTCTCACTGTCTCCGGTGAGTCCTGGGCCTGCGGTGCCCCGCCAGCCACCGGCCTGCTCTGCCCCACAGACACCCCGCCTGCAGTCCTCCCGCGTCTTCATCCTCCTTCACTCACTCCCAGCACACCCTGCCCTCAGCCAGCCTCTGCTCTAAGTTCGAGGACTGGAGGCTCCTTCAGCGCCACGAGCAGCTCGGTTGCTCTGTCTCATCTTCAGTTCTCCTCTGTGAATTAAATTCTACCTCCGGGAGGGAGGAATGTCAAGGAATTTGTGGACATCTGTTCCCAGCATCACAGTACTGGGTGAGTATTTGGAGGAGGTACTCTGAGGCTATGCGGAGAGCCTGCTTCTCTGTAAAGTTTCTCCCACTAATTTGAACATCCATCAGTGGACTGGGCTGAGCCGGCCTTTCTTTTTCTTTGCTGTGTAGTTGACTGATGATCTGTTTGTTGACTAATAAAATGCAGCCAAAAAGGGAGTCCGGAGATGCAGCTGTCACAGTGGGATCACAGATAGAGCCCTGACCCTGACGACTGCGAGTTTCTGGTTGGGTGGGATCTGTGTGTGCACATCTGGGATCTGTCCCCAGAAAGCTTCCTGACCACTAGTTCACTCATCAGCCCAGGTGAGTGTTACTGACGGCACTTAGGCTGCAGGGAAGTCTGGGCTTGGCTGCTGCCCCTGGAAACACTGACCGGCTCCCCGCCAGAAAAGAGCGGGTACACAGCGCTGCCGTCTCCACTGCTGTGATCTCTCTGTGATCGCTTTGATTGCGAACCGACTTTTCCGGCGGAGGCGGCGGAGTGGACGTGCCGTTCCAGACGGGAGAGGCGCACGTGCCGAGCTCTTGCGTGTGCGCGTGTTTGGGTGTGTGTTTATCTGTGTGCGTATGTGCGTGAGGGCTCAGCGTTTGGAACTGTCTCGTAGTCGGCCTGTCCACGTGAAGTCCCTGTCTCATAGGCTCAGGTACCTCTCCTACGTACGATCTTTAAATCAAAGATCGTTTCCCTAGACTGTGAACTTTTAAAGGAAAGATTAGGTCTGTTTTGCTTCCACTGTGAGCCCAGCGGGCGGTGGTACCAAGTGCTGCCAGGGTGCAGGCTGTGGCTGTTGGGACGTTGGCAGGACAGCAGCGGAGGGCACGCCCGTCCCAGCGTCACCAAGCAGAGCGTGAGGGAGGGACGGGCTGGCGCAGGGAGACAATGGCTCACAACCGGCGGGGTCATGAGACTTAATGTGAGCATCCTCGTGTTAACTGCCGCCTGGAGCCCCTTGTACAACCTCTGGCACCATTTCTTTATCCACTTTCATTGTGCTCGGCACTCAAGTCACTTCAGAATTTTTATTTGAAATGATGCTGCAATGAAAATTCCTTTAATTCTCTCTGGGTCGTAAAATTCTATCACTAGGGAGAGCATGTCTGACGTTCTGCAAAATAAAGGAGTTATTAATTAATACCATTGTCTCCCAGAATTGAATGTCTAAGTCTTACGTAAATCCAGGTAATATAAATGTTATAAGCAAAATGTTTTCTCCCGTTCCATCTTCTTGGAGGGAAAGCTCTCACGCACAGAAGACCACACCAGCAGTGCTGGGCGGAGCCGGTGAGCACAGGGATCTGACGGTGCTTGTGCTGAAGGAGGAGCCCACCCCGTTACAGCCCCCCCGTTACAGCCCCCCACCCCGTTACAGCCCCCCAACCCCGTTACAGCTCCCCCATTACAGCCTCCCCACCCCGTTACAGCCCGTCACCGGCGTCCAGAGTTCTCGCAGAACGTAGCCAAGCGCAAACCGCACCTGATGGGAGCTGTGGTAGCACCGTGCTCGCCCCTCTAAGAGCTGGCGGGACGCAGCTCAGGCGTGTCAGTCCACCGTCTCTCCCGTGCCCGTCAGTCGGGAAGTCACTTTGGAAATCTTCCGTACTTTGCTGGGCGTTCGCGCGGCCTCCGCTAAGGATCAGGAGTGGGGGCCCCAGGAGAGAACCGTTTGGAAAGGCAGGAGCGCCATCTAGCGGACCGTCTGCGTTGCCTTCTTGCGCCGTCAAGGAGCCGCGGCGCTGCGGCAGGTGACAGGCAAGTCTCCTTATTTTCCTCAGCGCGGTTTTCTCCCTGCGTCTCATCTTCCGGTCGCAGCTGTCCCGCGGCACTGGGGGGACACTGGTGTCAGTCTGCCCCCAGCTCTTGAGGACGTGCCGTTTCCGCTAAGCACACCTTGACTCCTCGTTCGCCCCGAGCTGCCTCGTCTGCTTCTGTGTGTCCTTATTGGCATCAAACTGATTCTGCTGTTTGCCTGGTACTTCCCAGGGAAGATCAGGGAAATTTCCTTAAAATGCACGTACCCGTTACAGGGTAGCGGCACACACCTGCCACGGTGGCGGACAGAGGACACAGCTCTCCGAGGCCCGGAGCCCTGCTTTGGGGTGGAAACCCTGTCGCAGATTGACGCGAGCTCGGCTCCGCGGATCCCCCTGTGCGCGTGCCTGTCCGGGTCCTGCTTTTCTTTGGTACCAAGCCGGCAGAAACGCCAGCTGGAGAAACGCCGCCCGCGTCGCTAAGACGAGGGTTCCGGGCGCTCGTCGTCCCCAGCTCACCTGGCGGAGGAGAGGGACGGCGGGCTGTGGGACGCCTGCGGGCCGAGAGAGGCCCGCCCCGGACTAGAGAGAGGGCCTGGCTGGCTCCTCTCTGCTTCCCACGCCCCCCTGCTGGCTCCCCTCCGCCCCCGATGGAAGGCTAAGCTGCTCTCGTAACAGGAGGAGAAAATAAAGCGTGCAGATCAAAGTGCAGTCTTTCGCAGAGCTGCTAGTTCACTGCTCACCGTCAAAGCTGTTGCTGACAAAGCGTTAAGGACATAGTCCCTGGAGCATCCTCTTCCCCCGGCGGCCAGCTTCTTGAAAGTTCCCCTGAAACCTACCTGTCGCTGTGACCCCGGTCCTCTGGCGATGAGGCAGTCCGCCCTGCTGGCCCCGGAGACCCCGGGCTGGCCTGAGCCGCCAGCCTCTCCCTGTGGGGAGGAAGCTTCTACCCTTTAAACTCTTCTGGGAGTAGCAGCCTCCCCCCCCGGACCCCCCCGTAAACGGCCTCGCCGGCTGCCCTCCAGCCTGCGGGGGCCTGGACCCCGCACCCTCCACCCCACCCGGGGGGTCAGGGGGGCTGGAGCGCGGTGAGCACGTCCGCAGGCGAGTCAGGCTTCCCGGGGGCGGCGCGGGCCTCCTCGGGCGCTC